TTTTTTTTTGGTCCAGTCTATTCGGTGTTCTTTATGCTTCTTGAACCTTCAAAGGAATATCTTTCTTTATGTTGGGAAAGTTTTCTTCTATAATTTTATTAAATATATTTTCTGGACCGTCAAGCTGTACTTCTTCTTCTTCTATCCCAATTATTCTTAGGTTTGGTCTTTTTATTGTGCCCCAGATTTCCTGAATGTTTTGTGATAAGAATTTGTTGGTTTTACTGTTTTCTTTGATCAGTGTGTTTATTTTCTCTATGGTATCTACAGTGTCTGATATTCTTTCTTCTAGCTCTTGTATTCTGTTGGTAGTACTTGTCTGTCTCTGTAGTTCCTGTTCGTTTACCCAGATTTTCCATCTCCAACCTTCCCTCGGTTTGTGTTTTCTTCATTACTTCCATTTCATACTTTAGGTCTTGAACAGCTTCCCTTACCTGTTTGATTGCTTTTTCTTGTTTCTCTTGGTTTTCTTGGGTATCTTTGAGCGATTTATTCATTTCCTCTACCTTTTTGTTTGTAATCTCTAATTGTTTATGGCACTTTTTCACCTCCTGCTTAAGGTCTTCTATTATTTTCATATAATTCACTTTTGAGTCGATTTCTTCTAATTCTTCTGGAGTAGGGTGTACAATTCTTCTTATTTCGGGATCCCTGGATTCTGGTGATGTCATGTTGCCTTTCAGGTTGTTGGAGGAAGTCTTGCATTGGCGCCTTCCCATCTCCTCCTTCAAATGGAGCCAGGAGAGGCCTGGTGTCTTGCTGGGACTTAGTCTCTGGGTGTGTCTCTTCAGTGTAGGAGCAGGGACCATCCCGTCAAGCTGGAACTCCTCAGCACCCAAACATGGACGACTGGTAGTCCAATGACCCACGGACAAAAAGGAGGAACTTGGGGGGCAGGGCAGGGACGAGTAGAACACGGGAGACCCTGCCTCTCAAGTTGAAGGTGCGCATGCTCCCTTTCAGGGGTCCTTGAGGCCTGACATTTAGGCAGGCACTCACCGCTCTGGGTTGGAAGCCTTAGTGTAGGAGCAGAAAACTGTTCCTGAGCAAAGGACCTTGCAGAGAATGCAGGCTTGGGGAGGGGTCGTGTATAAGAAAGACAGCCCTGCAGAAGGAGCTGGGGGAAGGGGGTTTGTGCTCTCTTCCGGGACTATCGCCCCTGGATAGCACACACTCACCCGTCCAGATGGAACTCCTCAGCACCTAAACAGGGCTGCCTGGTAGCCCAATGATCCGGGGACAGAAGGAAGGATGGGGCAGCAGTGCGGGATCCAGGAGAGCACAGGAGCCCCTGGAGCCCAGGCTGAGGGTGCCCGGGCTCTCTTACTGGGGACCTTGAGGCTCACCACTCTGGGCGGGTAGCCTTAGTGTGAGAGCTTAAAACTGATGTTGAGCAGTAGTCCTAGCATACAGCAGGGCAGGGTTGGGGGTGGGGTGCTGGGGTGCTGGGTCGTGGTAAGAAAAAAAGTGAGACTCCTCTATTTAAATTCTCTGTTTAGCTCAGAACCCCGTTTTTTAATTGGATTATTTAGAATTTTGATGTCTAATTGCTTAAGTTCTGTATACATTTTGGAAATCAGTCGCTGTCTGATGTGGGTTTGGTGAAGACATTTTCGCATTTAGTAGGCATCCATTTTGTCTTATTGACTGTGATTTTTGATTAACAGAAGCTTCTCAGTTTTAGGAGGTCCCATTTATTTATTGTTGCTCTTGGTGTCTGTGTTGCTGTGGTTATTATATTTTGAAAGTAGTCTTCTGTGCCCTTGCATTAAAAGGTCCTTCCCACTTATTCTTCTATCAGGTTCAGTGAGTTATGATTTATAATGAGGTCTATAAACCATTTCGACTTGAGTTTTGTGCTTGAGGATAGATATGGATCTATTTTCATTCTTCTACATGTTGACATCCAGTTTTGCCACCGCGGTTTGTTAAAGATGCTTTATTTTTTCCATTTTATAATTTTAACTTCTTTGTCAAAAATTATGTGTCTGTAGATGTGTGGATTAATATCCAGATCTTCAGTTCCATCCCATTAATACCAGACCATTTCATATTGTAGCTCTCTAATAGAGCTGGATGTCAGGGACGTTGATGCCTCTAGAAGTTCTTTATTATACAGGATTTTATGGCTATCCAGGGTTTTTTTTTTCACATGAAGTTGATTATTATTCTTTCAAGGTCTGTGAAGATTATTTTGGGATTTTGATGGAGATTGCATTGAATCAATAGATTGCTTTTGGTAGTATTGCCATTTTATTATGTTGATCCTACCTATACAAGAGAATGGGAGACTTTTCCATTTTCTGGTATTTTCTTCAATTTCTTTTTTCAAAGATTTAAAGTTCTTGTCAAACAGGTCTTTCACTTTTTTGGTTTATGTTACCCACAAGATATTTTATGTTGTTTGTGTCTTTTATGAAGGGTGGTATTTTTCTGACTTCTTTCTCAGCGTTTTGATCATTTGTATATAGGAGGGCTACTAATTTTTAGTTGATATTTTATCCTTTAAAATTATTAAAGGTATTTATTCAGCTACAGTAGCTCCCTAGTAGATATTTTGGGATCATGTATGTATACTGTCATATCATATGCAAATAGCAAAGTATGACTTCTTCCTTTCTAATTTATATCTACTTGATCTCCTTTTGTTATCTTATTGCTCTAGCTAGAACATTAAGAACTATGTTAAATAGCTATGGAAAGAGTAGACAGCCTTGTCTTTTCTCTGATTTTAGTGTAATCCCTTTGACTTTCTCTCCATTTACTTTGATGTTGGCTGTCGTTTTATTGTGTATTGCTTTTACTCTGGTTAGATATGTTCCTTGTATCCTTGATCACTCCAAGACCTTTATCATAAAGAAGTTTCAAATGGTTTTTCAGCATTTAATGAGATGATTATATTGATGTAAATGGGTCTTCTTTCTATGTGTTGCTTTTCCTTGGTTAATTAATAAACTGCTTAGCCTGATAGGTCAGAACATAGATGTGTGGAGTAGACAGAACAGAATGCTGGGAGGAAGGGAAGTGAATCAGACGCCATGCCGCTCCTCTCTAAGATGGACACAGGTTAAGAAGGTTCCCAGTAAGCCACCACCTCGTGGTGCTACACAGATTATTAAGAAATGGGTTAAGCAAGATATGAGAGTTAGCCAAGAAGAGGCTAGATATATTGAGTCATGCAGTGTTTAGAAGAATATAGTTTCCATGTAATTATTTTGGGTAAAGCTAGCTGGTGGCTCGGAGCCAGGAAACAGAAAGCAGCTTGCAGCTCCTTCTACATTATATGATTTTATCTTCAGTTTATTTTGTTGTGGGTTGCATTATTAGATTTTTGTACATTGAACAATCCCTGTATCCTGCAATGAAACTGACTTGATCATGGTGGATGATTTTTTTTTATGTGCTTTTGGGTTCAGTTTGCCAGTTTTTTTTTTTTTTTTTGGTTGGTTGGTTGTTTTTTGAGACAGGGTCTCTCTGTAGCTTTGGAGCCTGTCCTGGAACTAGCTGTTGTAGACCAGGATGGCCTCAAACTCAGAGAGATCTGCCCGCCTCTGCCTCCCAAGTGCTGTTTCTATTATGTTGAACATTTTGAGGAGTATAGGTATTAGATCTTCTTTGAAGTTCTTTTAGAATTCTGCACAGAAACCATTCAGCTCTGGGCTTTTGGTTAAGAGGCTTGTGACAACACCTTCTATTTCCTTGCAGTTTAAACATGTATTTAAATTGTCAACCTGGTTTTGATTTAATTTTCAGTATATAGTATCTATCTAAAAATTTGTCCATTTCTTTTACATTTTCCAATTTTGGGGAGTACAGGTTTTTGTAGTATGACATAATAATTCTCTGGATTTCCTCACTCTCTGTTGTTATATCCTCCTTTGCATTTCTTACATTGTTAAATTGAATATTCTATCTCTCCCTTTTGATTAGTTTATAGAAGGGTTTGTCTACATTGTTGATTTTCTCAAAGAACCAGCTCTTTGTTTCATTGATTCTTTGTATTGTTTTCTTTGTTTCTATTTTGTTGATTTCGGCCCTCATTTTGATTATTATCTTCCACTTCTCCTGCATGAGTCTGCTTCTTTTTGTTCTAGAGCTTTCAGCTGTGCTGTTAGGTCACTAGTGTGAGCTTCCTCCACATTCTTTATGTGGGCACTTAATGCTATGAACTATCCTTTTAGCACTGCTTTCATAGTGTCCCATCGGTTTTGGTACACTATGCGTTCATTTTTGTTGAATTCTAGGAAGTCTTTGATTTCTTTGTTTATAGTTTCCCGAGACCCTGGAGTGGTTTATTTTCCACGTGTTAGTGGGTTTTTTAGAAATTAGTGTTACTGTTGAATTCTAATGTTAAACCACAGTGGTCCAATAAGATCTAGGGGGTTACTCCATTTTTTTTTGTATCTGTTGAAATTTACTTTGCTACCAAATTTGTGATCAATTTTAGAGAAGGATCTGTGAGGTATTGAGAAGAAGGTATAATGTTTTTTGTGTTTGGGTGGAATGATATTTAGGTGTCTGTAAATTACATTTGATTTATTTATCTGTTAGTCTTCTTATTTCTCTTTTAGGATTTGTCTGCTTTATTTGTCCATTGGGGAAAGTAGGTAATTGAAGTCTTCCACTGTTGATGTCATTAGAATCATATGCAGTAAGAATTTCTGCTTCTTTATGGATATGGAAATTCTGCCTTTGCTACACATTTTATGGTTGACATATTTTTATTTGACAACAGTGTATGCCTGCAGGGTTGCAACTTTATAGCTCATGATTCTTCAACCTGTGGTTTCTAAAGAAAAATTTGCCATGAGGATAGATAATTAAGGGCACGGGTGAAGTCTGGAACTTCACATGAAGATAATCTGCCTCCCATTCACATACCCAAATTTATCCCATAGATCTGCAGCTTAACTTGTCCTACTTGATTTAATATTTCCAGCACATGGATTTTTAGTATAGACTGTATTTTGGAGTATGTCTTTTATAATAATGCTAAGCAAGAACACATCAAGTTTTGGGATGAACTCTTGTATCCTTAGTCTAGGTAAAGAAAATTTTACGTGGGCACTTGATAAACTTTTTCTTTTCATGACAGGGAATCTTGACATTCCAGGATGTGGCAATTGATTTCTCTCCAGATGAGTGGGACTGCCTCGACTTTGCAGAAAGGGCTTTGTACAGGGAATTCATGTTGGAGAACTACAGTAACATGGTCTCTGTGGGTGAGACATTTTTCGTTCAAGATTCCTTCTTTATTATAATTGTTTCCTACAAGTATGTTTTACATCTATGTCTGAATTGTCTGCCTCACTTTCATTTGCCATTCAATAAAAATCTTGGAGTTCATTATGTAGAACACAATGTTTTGTGTAACTTCATCTTGTCAATGTATTCCTGATTACTGGAGATGACATTCATCATCCAAACTTTCATAATACATTTTACTTTTCAGACACATCATATATATTAATTTGCATCTTAATGATTAATAATGTATTTGCATTTGATCCAGTTGTTATTTACAAAGAAACTCAAGGTATACGATATTAACAAAAATGCTTTTGAGTGTGTTAAAATATTTGGAGATAGCAATAAGAAAATCATATTTGGAATTTTAAATTATAGACCATCTTATATAATCAGTATGGTAGTTTCTGAGAGATCCATGTGTTTTATTGTTATCCCAAGTTATGGTCATAGGTCTCTTCCAATATGCAGGTCTTTCAGTGCCAAAACCAGACCTGATCAGCTTTCTTGAACAAGACAAAGAGCCCTGGAATGTGAACATAGGAGAGACAGAAGGCAATGAACAAGGTAAGCCAGAATGAAGTATTGGCACACATGGGAAACCTAGGGCATGGAGAAATTCTGCCCTGAAGCGGGATGCATGGTATATTAGGTCCTTTTGTTTATGTATTGTTTTCATTGGTTAATCAATAAAGAAACTGCTTGGCCTGATAGGGCAGAACTTAAGTATGCAAAAAAGACAGAACTGAATTCTGGGAGGAGAAAAGCAGAGTCAGAATGAGAGAGCCACCATGGAGATGCCATATCAGACATACTGAAACTATCCCGGTAAGCTAGGACCTCATGGTGAACACAGATCCATAGAAATGGGTTAAATCAAAATGTGAGAGTTAGCCAATAGGAGGCTAGAGCTAATGACCAAGCAGTGTTTTAATTAATTTAGTTTCTATGTGATTATTTCGGGTGTAAACTATCCAGGCAGCTGGAACAAAAGGCTCCTTCTCCCTGTAACAAATGCACAAATATTTCTACCAAAAATTATGTAAAAATTCACGTTGAATGATTATCCCAAATTACTTTATAAGTCTCAGTCACATAAAATGACCTAAAATTCATTTTGAATAAGTAAATTAAATTATGGTATAAAGCTGAAGTAAAATGATTTGTTGGTCTATCTTTGAAATCCACCAGGCCTTGAGATAAACAATATTGAAATGAAAATTAGCATTAAAAAGTTTCACAATGTTTGAAGGAGTATTGCTCTGTGCCTGTTCATGTCTGTCTGCTCTCATGAAAGAATTACATGGTTTTCACTGTTGTGTAGTCTCACATAAAATCAGAAAATATAAGTCTTATAGTTGTATTCATTTTGGAAGATTGTAGATTTCATTCTTTGTGTCAGATACTATAAAACTTAAATGTAAATTTTTCTATTTCTGCAAAATATTCTTTAGGAATTAAGACTTCTGTAGGGCCATACATGTTATTGGTCTAATTTAATTTCACCTACTAACCTCTGCATATCAAAATTTAAATGTTAATTTTCACATAAATGTTGTATATGCACTTGTTTTCCTTTGTGTTTTATATCTGTATTGGAAATTGTTTGGAGAAACGAATTTGTATATTCACAATATTTTCTTTTGATACTTTTATTAGTGATTTAAGAATACCTTGCAGTGTCATTAGACCAAATTCAACCTTCCACTCTTCCCATGTTCCACTTCCTCCAGACATCTTTGGTTTTTTATTTCTGCTTCTTTTTTTTATATTCACAGAGTTCAATCAGAAACTCCAATAAAATTCTGGGTGTTGAGACTAAGTGGCCTACAATATGGTTGAACAATAAGAACTTGAACATACTTAAAAACAACATTATTTCCTTTCTCCAAGTATCTTTAAGATAATAGTAGCTTCTCAGCAAGGCATGGATATCCAGGCCCCTTCTTATTGTCTCCCAAGTATTTTAATCTGGTTTCGGATTGCTCATGTCTGATACATTCTATCCTAATTACTTCAGTTTATATGGGCAACTGTCATGTTGTGTACAGAAAACACTATTTTTTATAGTCATTCATGACTTCCTGCCTTGTTATGTATTATCACTTTGTCCAGAAAGAGCTCTGAACAGTCCATGAAATAAGTTTGCTCTGAACATACTCATTAAAATTAAATATTTTCTTGTTGTTTGGACCATGTCCACCTGTGAGTCACCTTTAGTTGTCAAATTCTGCCAGACATTTGGAAATGGAGGCTTAGAGATGCAACAGTCTGTGGGTAAATCAATAGGACATTAAAAATAATTTTAGTACTCAGCAGAATAATGATAGTAGGTCGTACCTTCTATCTTTTAATAATGCTTCTTGAATTAACATGAATACTCCTCAAATTATTCTACAAAATAAAAACTGCAGAACACTGTGAAATTCTTTTCATGAGGACAGCTACCTTCATGACTAAACCGCATATACAGCCAAAATGTAACTGAAATACATGCCAATTTCATTATGAACATATGTACAAAAGTCCTCAATAAAATATTTACATCCTATATCCAAGCACATATCAAAAAGATAATCTACCATAGGCTTTATGTCAAGACATGTAGTGATAGATGAAAAATTAAATATCAATAAATATAATCTAACACTTATACAAACTTAAAGTCTAATTCCAGAAGTTCATCTTATTAGATGCAGAAAAGCCTTTGACAATATTAACACCCCTTCTTGACAGAAGTCTTGGAGATATTAGGGGTACAAGAAATATACCTCTACTTAAAAGATTCAATTCTCAGAAAGTGTATAGCTCACATAAAACTAAATGGAGAGAATTCAAAGCCTCTCCATTAAAAAAGGGAACAATGCAAGTGTACTCAATCTCTTTATATGTATTCAATACAGTACTTGAAATCTTAGCTTGAACAAGAACACAAATAAAGAAGATCTAGAAGTGATTAATAGCAAAGAAACAAATCAAAAGAATGTTATATGCAGATGCTATGATTTTTTGTATAAAAGACTCTAAGAACTTTATGAAGAAACTTGTCCAACTGAGGAACACTTTCACCAAGGATAGGAATGCAAAATTGACTAACAAAAAGCAGTAGCCTTCCTATATACAAATGAGAATAGACTTAAATAGAATTCAGGGAAATGAGGCCTTTCACAATAACCTCAAAAAATAGTTTTGGATAATTTGAATTGAAACGGTTAAAGACCTTTATAAAAACATTAAGACATTGAAGAAATGAATGAAAAAGGGTATTGGAAGATACAAAAATACACATGCTCAAGGATGGGTCAATTGATATAGTAATGTACTGATTCAGTGAAAAACCCTATCAAAATTCTAACACAACTCTTCTCAGATCCCAAAAACATAGTTTTCAGCCTCATATGTATATACAAACAAACAGAAACCTCACAATAGCTTAAACAACTATGAAAAATAAAACTATAAACAATATACCATTCAGAATTTTAAATTATACTACATTTTTTATAATAATTAGGTTGTGTATAATAATGGTATGGCTAAAAACAGATATATTGATCAAAAAATAAAATTGTAGATACTAACTTATGTCTACTCATCTATTACATTCATTTTGTAAAAACATCTAGAAAAATGCACTTGAAAAATGAGAGCATTTAATCCTAATCTTACCTAAGCTGTTTCCAACAGACCATGAGTCCCCACAGAACAAATAAATTTTCTCCAAGTGATTCTCAGTGGGGATAAAAGTAACACTTACAGGAATTCCCCATAACTAGCACTTGAAGTATATCACCAACACAACTCAATGGAATTTTTTTACATTCTTTTCCCCCTATAATGTATAGTTTGGGAATTTATTTATTTTTATTTTTGACCATACAGAATCTTTATGTACATTACACCTTCTAGAGTTTTCTTTTGCTTTGTTTTATGCAATTTTCTGGGTACTAATATTTGTCTTTCTCTCTATAAATACTTTTTCTTTATTTCCCATTCTTCTCTGATCCTATCTGACTTCTTTGATTCTTTTTATATTATTTTATTGTTATTCTTTAGATGCCTATTTATTTTCGAAGAAGTGAATGAAATTGGGAAAATTCAGACATAAATAAAATCAGGATGATCTCAGGGCATTTGAGGGATAAAAAGTTATAGAATATATTTTATGAAAGCATCTATTTTCTGTATAAGAAAAAGAGAAAATAAATCTCAGATAAAAAGGATCAGTCCTAGTGAATTTCCTTGATGTTTGATATTTTATGGATGTCTTCCTTGGGGTATACATGATTGTCTATAGACCAGCTAGAAGTAACTGTTTCCAGATCATCATTTGTTCTTTCCTTATTAATTAATGTTCTGTCTAATTTATTAATATTACTCAATTTTTTATTTCAAGGGATTGTACAGATGTGTTAAATCTATTAATATAATGCAATTTTATGAGTGTAATTTTTTGCACTTGGGTTATAGTCTTTGTATTAGTTACTTATTAACTATTGCTGTGATAAAATTCCAAGAAAAAGGCAATATATAGAAGAAAGATCCATGACGATGAATCAGAGGTAGCAGTTGGCAAGGGGCTAGAGCAGCAGTGAGAGGTCCCATCTAGAATCACAACAGTAAGTAGATAGCTCACTGTTGTTATTAGAAGGCTTTAAAATTCTTAAAGCCAGTGTCCAAGGGCATAGGTGATCCAGTAAGTTGATACTCTTTATCCTACCAAAAAATATCCACCAACATTAGACTATGTGTTCAGTATCTGATTATATGGGATCATTTCACTCAAACCACCATAATCTCGTTTATTATTCTAAAATTGTGATTGGAACCTCTAAGATAACATAAACTCAATCCTTTTTTTTTTTAATTGAGAAAAGGGAAAAAAAAAAGTTTCTGCCTCCTCCCAGCCACCCATTTCCCTCCCCCTCCTCCCACCCTTCTCCCCTTCCCCCCACTCCTCTCCCAATCCCTCTCCAGTCCAAAGAGCAGTCAGGGTTCCCTGCCCTGTGGAAAGTCCAAGGTCCCCCCCCCTCCATCCATGCCTAGGAAGGTGAACATCCAAACTGGCTAGGCTCCCACCAAGCCAGAACATGAAATAGGATCAAAACCCCGTGCCATTGTCCTTGGTTCTCATCAGCCCTCATTGTTCACCATGATCAGAGAGTCCGGTTTTATCCCGTGCTTTTTCAGTCACAGTCCACCTGGCCTTGGTGAGCTCCCAATAGATCAGCCCCACTGTCTCAGTGGGTGAGTGCACCCCACGTAGTCCTGACATCCTTGCTCGTGTTCTCCCTCCATCCGCTCCTCACCATTTTTATAATGTATTTAATATGTGTTATAAAAGATATTCTATCCATTTACATTAAGATTATTTCATTAGAATAAATGATTTGAAGTTTATTTTATATACTATGCCATCTTGCATATATGTCTACATATATATAAAATTGTGTCACTTATATTTTTGAAAAGGTTTCACCTAACTATACTAATTCAGATAACATTTGTCTTTCTTCCAGTTTTATATTCTCATCAAACACAAGACTTATTTTCACAAGAGAATAGACAAGATTGTATCCAGAAGTTGGTATCAGGAATAGCTGTAAGTAGTGACTTTAAAACCTTACATTTAGGGGTGATTTCAATATTTGGTGAAGAAAGAACAGAGAATGGATTATGTCATGATTAAAACAATCTCTATTCATCAGCCATCCTGGGTTGTACTAGAAATAAAGGTCAATAATTTCTACCTTATATAAAAATATTTCACATTAGATCGCTTACAATTTCAGAAGCAGTTTCCTCAGTAAAAAAAAAATACAAATAAATATTAAAGCATTTTTCTCTACAAAGAATATTTAAAAAACTAAAAACTGAATAACATGTATTCTATTAAACATTCATTAGAGTTTTCTCACCAAATTTACATTTTGTGACAAGCTATTTGTGAGATAAACGTGAGAAGTTTTTCTCAATCAAATGAGAATGAAAATATATCAGAATTTTCCGTCATGAGAAACATTACACATTCAATCATGTTATTAAAGCATTTCCTAGTAACTCTTGGAAGAATAGTTTCCAGAATCCTCTTCTTAAAGGACAAATTCTCAAAAATCAAATCACAGTAAGTCTATTCTCATTATATAAGTTGATAGAAGAAGTCTGTTTTTCCTAATAGCCAATACATACATGATAATTGTAAGGATGATTTTGTTTGTAACACAACTTCTTTTTGTTTCAGCATAACCAGAAACAAGGGAGGCATTATATAAACAATCAAAATGAAGAGAGACAAAACAATTATATAGAATTTGGAAAGTGCTTCAACAGATATGCATGCCCCACTATGCATAAGATAATTAATTCCAAAGAGAAGGCAGGCAAAGGTAAAGATTGTGGCAAGTCATTTATCCGTCACACAAACTTTCAATCTCACCAGAGAATCCATACTGGTGAGAAACCTTACAGATGTCAAGAATGTGGCAAGTCCTTTACCTGGGCCTCAGCCCTTCACACTCATCACAGAATCCATACTGGTGAGAAACCTTATAGATGTCAAGAATGTGGCAAGTCCTTTACCCAGCTCTCAAATCTTCATATTCATCACAGAATCCATACTGGTGAGAAACCTTACAGATGTCAAGAATGTGGCAAATCCTTTACGTGCGTCTCAACGCTTCTATCTCATCAAAGAATTCATAGTGGTGAGAAACCTTACAGATGTCAAGAATGTGACAAGTCCTTTGCCAGAGCCTCAAATCTTCATAACCATCAAAGAATTCATACTGGTGAGAAACCTTGCAGATGTCAAGAATGTGGCAAGTCCTTTACCTGGGCCTCAGCCCTTCACACTCATCGCAGAACCCATACTGGAGAAAAACCTTATAAATGTCAAGAATGTGTCAAGTCCTTTACCTGGGTCTCAAATCTTCATATTCATCACAGAATTCACACTGGTGAGAAGTCTTATAGATGTCAAGAATGTGGCAAGTCCTTTACCCAGGTCTCAACTCTTCACACTCATCACAGAATCCATACTGGTGAGAAACCTTACAGGTGTCAAGAATGTGGCAAGTCCTTTACCCAGGTCTCACATCTTCACACTCATCACAGACTCCATACTGGTGACAAGCCTTACAAATGTATAGAATGTGACAAGTCCTTTCACACAAATTCAAGTCTTAGAAAGCATCACAAAATGTATTTAATGGGTACATTTCATGAAATTTCTTAGTATACCTCACTTTAATTCATTGTACAGATCTTCATTCATTAGCCAATTTATTTCACAGACTCACATCCTTCAATTAATTTTCAAATCTTAGTCAATACTTAGAAAGCTATGCAGTTCTTAGGAATTTAGAAACATTGTGTCCAGATTTGAACTTTATTATCATCAAACATTTGTTGTAAACAGAATTTATACATCATTGTAAACATGCTATTCAAGAATTAATTACTATAAATAGGTAAACATTTCTAGTAGGAGTAAATTGAGCAATAACATTTCTTGACTGTATGTTAAGATAATGTGTGATAAAAACAGCCAATCTCAAACTAGTTTAGATTTTGATGCACATTTAATTTCTTGGAATATGGTTGTTTATGTAATGAGGTTATACTCTATATAAACTTTATTTTTCTGTGATTTTTTTGTGATTCATCAATAAATATTAGCTTGTTTTAAAATTCATGTCTTTTAATTTCTGACTTTGCAACAAAACTGTTGCATTTTATCCCATTTTTATTGCATTTTTTTTCTGATAGTCTATTCTCTAATAGTAGAGTATCATAAGTGTGAACACTTCCATGGATAAACTGGTACGTCAGAGAATGACACACTACATAGATTACTTTAAACTTTGTATAATTGTGGTTCAAATCAGTGTGAGGTAGATGGAAGATATCAATGGGCATGGAAAACTGGACAAGGAAAAATTACAAGGCAAAAACATCAAACAAAGAACTCTAGTCATTTAGGAAAGCAGGGAGTGGGAGAGGTGGCCTTCTCCAGAGAGAAACACATAAACTGATTGTCCAGTAACCAATGGACATGCCTGAAACCATATAGAATTGTAACATCGCATGGATTCCTCTCCTTGTATTTAGGAACATATGTATATACAAATTTATGTATAAAAATAGCAATGCATGAATAAAGGACATAAACTTGAAAGAGAATACAGATTGTGGTATATAGTAGGGTTGGAGGTAGGATATCGTAAGTACAAAATTAATCTTATTATTCTGTACATTTTAATTATATAAAATAAGGAATGTGTTTGTATACACCCCCTTGTTTCCTTGTTATACTCCCTCCATCTAAAACATTTGCCCTCACAGTTCTGCAAATTTTTCATCCTCCTTTTATATTTTTTCAAGATTCCATTTATGAGAGAAGACGTGTGCTATTTGTATTTTGGAGAGTTGTTTATTTCTTTGACTTAATGATACATAGTTGCAACAATTTACTTGAGACTTATGTAATTTTTTCTACAATTTTATTCATTGATTGATTATCTTGCATTATTTATGCGTATTATGTTTTCTTTATCCATATATTTAGATATATTTGTGGATATCTAAGTTCATTCCCTGAATCATCTATTACATGAAGTGCAATGATAACAATTACACACAAACTCATGCACACATATATGTGATTCAGCATAGTGATCTCACTATGATAAGTATGCATATTTATGAGTGATTCAGCATGTATGTGTATGATAAATTTTCAGTCATATCTATCATTATAGCATCCACAGTACCTGGGATGTCTTAGTTTTCAATGACCATAGCATATTTTTTCCCACTTCCTTTGCAGCATTTGAAAAATTTAGAGCTGGAAAAAATGTAATCACTAAAAAGGCACTCAAAGCTGATATTATGGAACACTCCAAATATTATTTCATTTTGTAAGAAATGAGTCTGAGACCCAAGAAAATGACCACAAAATCTAGAGTACTTGAGCCAGGTTATAAGTCCTGTTGAAAATGTATTGTAAAGTAAATGCAAGCTTTTGAGTGGTGATGTAGTGTACCCATGCAAGTTGATCAATTATATAAACGCATATGCTGGCATGGGAAAAAATGTATTGTAATGCAAGTGGTTGCCATGACTTAGCTTGAGTGGTCAAAGCTTGACCTCGTATTACCACATGCCTGGGTACCTCAACATGGTCACTTGGTAAGCAGAATATATGTGTGTGACACTTGGGCTACTTTGCACACATATTTGTATTTCATATGTATGTTGGCATTTGAGATACTGTCTCAGATATGCTGATTATGAAAATTGTTGTCAGCATGCAGACAATAAAACTCTGCTCTTTATCATCTACCATACACAAACTGCACCAAATGTGTCATGGATGTCAAAATGAGACCTGATACCCTACAATTCCAAAGGACACAGTTGAGAAAATCCTCTAACTTTTTTTCTTATTTTTAATATAATTTTTTTATTGAAAAAAAATTTCTGCCTCCTCCCCGCCTCCC